CTTTAAATAAGATTAATTATTGAATTAATGATAAATACATATTAAGCAATTGAGTGTAACAATTTTAATACCCCTCCCCATTTTTCCTTTCCACAACACAACAGTATACATTATAATGAGTTCTTGCAATAATGATGTGAAATTTGAAGTATAATTTAAATAAAAATCAAATGCACAAATTGTTGAATGATAATATAAGAAAATAAATAATAGAAAGTGGTTACTACTCCCCCCCCTACAAAAAAACCACAGTCTTCTATTAATAAAGTATTTATATTCAGGCACTTTGAAAAATGACTAAGTCCAAAGTAGGTACATTTTAGGTACACTGGGAAAATATTTAAGTCCAACATAGGTACATTTCTGGCACACTGAAAAATGACAAAGTCCAAAATAGGTACACTGAAAAATGACAAAGTCTAATGTAGGCACATTTCAGGCACACTTTAAAATGACAAAGTCCAAATTAGGTACATTTTAGGTACACTGAAAAATGACAAAGTCTAAAGTAGGCACATTTCAGGCACACTGTAAAATGACAAAGTCCAAATTAGGTACATTTTAGGTACACTAGAAAAAAATTAAGTTCATTTTTGGCACAGAATAGGTATGCCTTTTCTGTACCTATAATAGTAGGCACACATTAGGTACTGAAAAGGCACAAAAAAAGTATGCCTATATGTACCTTTTTTTTGTATGGGAAGGCAGAGATTTTAAGCACCGCCTTCAAAAATACCTGGTTTGGGTAGCCCTGTCAATCAAGTGTGTGAATTTAAGGTCCATTATTGGATGCTGCAGTTTGATTGACACATACTTACTGGTCCCTGTGTATGCCCTTTACACCTTGTTTTAGACTCACCAGGCAGAAGATGCGGGTTTCAAGAAACGGGATATTTATTCATGTGATACTTATACTGCAAGGTGATAATTTATAATTATTCATATGTTGCCTATATGCTATTAAAATAATTATCATCAACTGTTTTGTGATAATTCGAATTAGAAATGCAGTACGTGTCACTGAAAAGTAATAATTGATTAGAAGACGAAAACCTAAATGAATTTAATTTTCATTTGTCAGTGTCAAAATTGAATGAAATATGAAAATGCAAACACAGCCTCAATATTGATATGACAACTTTTGCAAGAAAAATACAGAACTTCATTCAGTGATCATGTTTAGAATAGTCATTGCTATGTACAACACTGGTAAATGACGGTTTCATATAAAAAATACATAGTAGGATGTCTGTATTACAAAGAATAAATAAATAAACATGAAATGACAAAGTACATATTTTGCTTTACACAGTTTAATAAATTAATCATCTAGAATACGAAAACTGACGATTTGTAAAAACCATGTGTAAAAGGTTAACTTTGCATGCAGGCATGGGGTAATCGTAATTGAGTAATCGTAATCGATTGTAATGATTACTTTTTACAAGTAATCGACAGTAATATGTAATCGAAGAGATTTTCGATTACTTGTAAGGCCACACCAATTTGTAACATAGTTCTTTGGATTTTCAAAAATAAAAAGTGAGGCGAGCGAGCGAAAATATTTTACAAATATTTTTTTTTCAGGTTTCAAAATTATGAGGCGAGCGAATATAATTAATATTAGCGACAAAAATTTCTAAGTTCTTCTCTTTTTCGGTCATTTTTTCTGGACGAGAAAACATTTTCGATTGCACTCAGAAGGCGCGAAAACGTGTTTTTCTTTTGTTTCTTGTAACATTGCAATTTTGACATAGTTTCATTTCTACAAATTTTCTGTTTAATTCTTTGCAAATTGTTAAGGTCATGTCAGGTTTTGAAATCACAATTGCATCACTTTTTGAATTTTCTTTAATTTTAATTGAACAAATATTGTCAATATTTACTTAATCTTGTGTGTACTGTATTTTTCATATGTTGATGATGTTCTCTTTATTGTTTTATAAAACAAAGCTTCAAACATCTCCTCTGATTCTATTTCTGTTGCTGTGTATGGAACTACTTTGTACCCAATGTTTTTAACTATAGTACACAGGGGTGTGCAATTAAAAAAAAAATTAAGTACTTTTCCACAGGCTATTGGCAGCTTTCAAGTTACTAGCCCCAAGTAAAAAGTTACTTACCCAAATAGAGGGGCAAAAATTAAACCAAATAGAGGGGCAAAAATTAAAATAAATACTAAAGTTGAGAAGAAATTAATTGCTGAAAAAGTCAGAGTACTGAGGTCATTCTTTTTAAAATTAAAGTTAAAAGTTCTCACTATCAATTTTAATCATGCATAAATTATTTTGAAAAAAAAAAATTAGAATTAATTTAAATAAATTATCTTCCCTTTTTCTGATCATTGCACTAGCTCATTTAGAATAAAATCAAATTCATTTTGTTTCATCTTAAATCATTAAATACACTGGAAATAAATTTTATGTGAGTCACAAAACACTTATCTTTCAGTTGATTGAGTGACCGTAAATAATTTAATGAGATATCTGCACGTATTTACCATAAATGGAGGAATAGAGGAAATTCGGATTAGGAAAAACGATCGTTTTTGGAAATAAATAAGTCAGATAGAACTACAAAACATATAAGATTATCGAGATTTATTGACAATAGGAGCATGTTGTCTGGAGAATTTTAACTGGTTGGGAATTTTATAACAAAAAAACAAGTGAAAATACCGATTGTGCTTGTCATGTATTGTGTGTTTAGGTTATATTTTTACTAGCCCGCAGGGCTACCTCCTTGCAGAAAACAACAAGCCCCACCCTCAAAAATGGTAGCCACAGGCGTCGGGAGATGCTAATTGCTCACCCCTGGTACATACGAACAGTTACACAGGCATCTTGCAAAACTTAACAGACTGCTTCAAAGTACAAACAAACTAACTAAATCCCGCGCTTCTGTCATACAAATTTCCAAGTCTTTTATGCGTTTTGTGTAAAAAGTCGAGAAAAAAAGTTGTATTCAGATATTTTTGGATGCGCGCGCGAATTTTATTTTTATAATATTATAATTTTGATTTGTTGAAAATAGAAGCGGCGAATCCGACGAACTATATTTATATAATAGTGTTGCATTATGCATGTAAATAGTAGGCAGGGTTTGACACATGGTGCACGAGCCGGAGGCGAGTGCACTATTTGTCAAACCCTGCCTACTATTTAGGCATAGTACATGCATAATGCAACACTATTGTTATTATTATGCTGACTGTTGTAATTATTTATGTGGCAATCAATTTGACTTTTTCCTGAAAATATCGGTGCTAACACAGCGCACTTGCAAGAACTCATTCAAAATCTCCATGCTAAAATTGGTTGCATGCTTAGTTATTTTGGTTACTAGTATTTTCTCTAAATAGGTCGGGATTTTCTGTCCCAAAGCAACTCATCTTTATTTTCTGTTTTGTTAGTAAGACTTATTTGTTTGCAGACGTCGATTCTCATTGATAATTTTCTTTTACATCCTTCAATCAAGCGTCATATAAAAAAGCGTTTTAATGACCCTATGAAATCAGTTCATCTAACGATCTGTATGTAATTAGTTTGAATCTTTGTTGTACACATTAATCTAAGGTTCCTTAGAATAATATAACTGTTTTCAAATAATATTTGTCTATTTTCTCCTTCTTGTGTCAATTGTATAAATTAAGATTATATATATAATAAAATTCTACCAATCAGTGATCGTCTCTGTGGCGTAATCGATAAGGCATCGGACTGACAATCTCATGGTCGTGAGTTCGATCCCCGGCGTGTGCATTGAAGAATTTTCTTCAGTAAATAAAGCCGTGCACTATTTCGGCATAGTGTGTTTACGCTATATAAATCCTTAGACCACTATGCGAGAATAGTAGGGTATGGGTTATATAGAGACAAACTGACAGGAAGCATAATATAAATAGAAATTGGTATGGCCTAATCATAATTTAATCAATTACAGCTAAAATTTCCAATGTAATTGTAAATACTTATTCGATTACTTTCAATTACTTTATACATATACACATACTTTATACATGAATGTTATTTTGGAGAATCATTTCCAGTTCATCATCTGATAGCTCTTGGTTGCTTCTCTGATCAATGAAAAATGCAGGTTAATATGGCGTCAAGCGAAGCTCGAATGTCATCTAGTGATCGGTCAGATTTACGCGACCGAATGTGTCAGTGGATGCATCTGCAATAGAAAAGAACAACAGCTGTAAACCAATTTCTTTGAAAATGCTCACAATGAATAATAGCTTGAAAATAAAATTACATCATTTGTATCTTCAATTAATTCTGCTACAAAACAACGATATTATGTTTAATTTTCACACAAGCAAAACGTTGTGGTTTGTTGCGGATGAATTTCTACAGAGAGGGTGCTTGGAATTACATGAATAACATTTTGGGACCTATTACTGTAATACAAACAACCTTAAAGACGGTAAAATAATAACAAAATAAACACGAGTACTACAAGACTATAAAGATTAAATTTCTTAATCTTAGCTTCAAATTTACAAACTTCAATCCAATTTTTTCCGAACAACCAATGATCTTTACCAGTATTACTGTATTTATCCATTTCCTCCATTTGTTACCACGCACTATCGTAACTCGATCGGATCATACCTGTAACGGTAGAGTCATAGTTGTAGTTTAGATGCACTCACTACACAGTAGAACAACGCTCTGACATTTGCAATTAGAAAGAATAATATATAAATTTATGAAACTCTTCATAGTTCTTCCATTGACTGAAAAGAAATTAGTTTGATATTGAGCATGAACATGTCTGACAGTGTCTTATCAATTCTAACCCTGCTTCATTTGGACCAGGACATAAGGCTCTAGACTGTATTTGTGTTAAAACTATTTTTTATATTATTATAATTTGTTACCAGGGTCACTCATTTTACCTATTTCTATCTTTAGATCTTTTGAAATTTTTTCTCTTGTTCGACACCATTGAAGCCTTTCAGGCTTTTGATTAATTTTTTTTTTATGTATTAGGTCATGAGTGAAAGCCACACACAAATCACTTGGCCATCAAAATTGAAAATAGGAGCCAAATCAAAGAAAGGTAAGTTCTGATATGAGTTATAATATTAGTTATACAGTAAAAACTGTCTAATCCGACACCTGTGCAACCTGACACACTGTGAATTTTGACAGATCATTTCTTGACCATATTACCCTTTCACATGGTTTAACACTGTGCAATCCAACACCCTGTCTATTCTGACACAAAATTTGTCTCCAATTGCATGTTGAATTATAGACACTCAGGTTTTACTGGACAGTGTCAAACGTGCCATAAATTTCAGGGCAGACATTTGCTTTGAAATTTGCATCCTAAAATATATAGAGGATATCTACTCATATTATAGGGTTATTGAACTTATATTGGTGAATATATTGGCACAAGTTGGCTGTTTAAATGCATGAGCTTGGGAGTGCATTTGAACAGCCAACCAGTGCCGATATTCACCAATTTAAGTTCAATAACTCTTTTATTATATAGGTAAAACTTATAATAATTATTCCTACTAAAAAAAGGTAAATTAATGATTTTTTAAAATATCAGTATTCAAATTAACGTCTGTCCTGTACACGTTCAATATCGCATCATTCTCATGACCCTACTGAGCGATATATTTTGCTTAGTTAGGTTTTAATGGGTCTAATACGTACTAAATATTTAATAATTTCATTTTGTATGAAAAAAAACACATCTTACCTAATCCTCAAGTAGTGTACGAGGGACGTTCAATAAATAATGTCATCAGGCCTTGGAGAGAAGCAAAAGACGCTTTTCAATGATTTAGTCTTCATGATTTTACTTATTAGTCTCTTTTGATTAAAACAGATGTCCATAAATTTTTTTTATCTAATTTCTGATTGTATTTAGAACTCATTTTTGGGTATGACCCTTAGTATACTGGAAAATGGCAGATCCAATGATTTCCTGGACTTAATTTCTTTCTGAAAGGTGGTTTTTCAAGTTTGGAAATAGAAACAAGTCAAAAGGTCTTGTATTGTTAATGTGAAAAAATATTAACTTTCTTTTTATCCCGAAAACTCCTTTACTCTTCAGGGGTGCGGGTTTGGATGCTGTCATGAAGAAATTTAATGTATTGGATTCCTGATTCTAGGTCCTTCCTCTAATAAACCTTTCGATTTTTTTGCAAAAAAAAAATTGCTTTCTAAACTCCTCCAGAAATTAAACTGTCTCCCCGAATACAAAATTGAACAACAGTACCACTAATATTTAAGAAAATTGCATATAAATCTGTCTTTGTGCTCTTGCATACCTTTGCTCTTGTCAGATCATTGCTGTTTTTATCAAGTACATCTTATGGTAAATTTTGTATTGAGTGTTTTAAGCAATAGATTCATGTTCCATTATCTGTTTGAATATGAAACAAACGTGGATAACTACAATTACTGATATCTTAAAATAATTGTTAAGACATTCCTACACGCTGTCGTTTTCACTCATTTTTCAAAATAAAAGGTGATCTTTGAGTACCAAGCTTTTTTACCGTCAAACACTTCTTAGAAATATTGTAAACTACTCCCGATATGATGTCTATCAAATTTGCTATGTGTCTCAAAGTCAGTTATACATCATCAGATATTATTTTTTAAAATTGGGCAAATGGTACATGAGTTGTTAAAATTTTTGTTGGCAAGGACGGTACCCATTTTTGATGCACATTATATAATTTTTTATCATTGAAATCCACTTGCTTATTTGTCTATAGAACAGGCAATGGTTGATGTAAATGTCACATATTTCAGTGAAAATTTCTATAGGATTTTTAACGCGTTTTACAGCAGCTGTAATGAAGCTTTTATTTTCACTCTAGTTAACTGATTCTTTACCATTCATTTATAATGCAGTGTCTCAAATAGCCCTTGTTTCCCAGCTTCTCACGATGAAACTATGTGATGAAAAGTGGTCACATAAACTGTTATCAATTCATTAAAGATTCAATAATGAGAGAAAGTTTAGCTTAATGTCATATGATTTCCATGTTGTAGGTAATCGAGCTTATGACATTATTTATTGAACGTCCCTCGTAGATTCAAGTTTGGTCAAATCATTTCTTGGGAAACAATTTTGGGGGGGGGGGGGGGGGGGGTGAACATCTTCAAGTAGTCAATACAGGTATCTTAAGGACATTGGCAAGTCATGGTTATCTGGAGAAAAAAGGTTTATATCATGGGTTTATTAACTTTGATTGATAGTGATCCTAAATGTAGAATTCTCTATGAAATGAGAAAATGAAAACCAATAAAGCTTATTTTACAGAGGTAAACGTGTTATTAAAGTTGTTTAATGATTATTAATTTACATTGTATTCTCCTGTATTCGCTTGCCTTTTGTTTGTTTACGTTTTACCCAAATGGAATCTCCCACTGGGAGATTCTATTTGCTAGATTAAAGATGGGTTCTGCCCGGAGGGCGATTCTATTTGATAACCAATCAGATTAAGGGGTTTTCTAATCTTGTAAAGCGACCCCTATCGGTGGCTAACTAGCGCCACCTATATACGTCACCGTTATCCAATCAGATTGCTTACTTTCTTGCTTTTAAATTCGTCCACTGTGCCATCCAATCAAATTGCTTTAATTGTCTATTTCAACCCATGTTTCGGCCAGTTTACATCACTTTCCAAGAAAATTCTCCGAGGCAGAACCCACGTCACTTTATTTCATAATTCAAAGTTATTAAAAATTTTTTTTGTGCTGTGTGATCTTCTGTGACCGTTCAAGTTACACTTAATTGTACAATTGTGCCATAACCATGGATGCTATCATCGCCAGGGTCGTGCGGTTCTTCAATCTTCCGACGTGGTATGTGTTGTACGACTTTGAAGCCATGCGAATCAACGCCATATTGCTGGATCGTAATTTCGACTGTGCCCAAGCCTTGTCAGACATTGCTTTTGACTGTTACGCCATGTGCGAAGGATGCATTTTTTGTGCCCCGGAGGAAGTTATTCCTATGCCAGCATGCATTCCCCGGCCTTCTAGGAGTGCGTAAGTTGTACGACTAATTTGTGTTCATTCTGCTTCTTCTCTTTGACTTCCGGTTTCAAATTCAAAATGGAGTCCGACGGTGAAAACGAAATTTCCGTGACTGTTGGTGAAGAAGCAGTTCGTAAGTGGGCTTCGGCCAAAAAATTATCGCAGAAAACTACAGACGCTCTCATAACCATCGGTTACGACAGCATGGAAGCTCTTTCCTTGCTCACGAAGGATGACTTACTTGACTCTAACATCCCCATAGGCCAAAGGAACCTTTTGCTGCATTGTATCAAAAACACTTTCCCTTTAGGACCCGCAGCCGGATCAAAACCCCAGCACCAACCCCGGGAACACGACAATACTCAAAGTTCAAGCGCTCCGGGACCGTCCGCGACGGACCGATCTTCGTCGGCCCCAGATCAGGCTCTGATGTGCGACCAGTCCTCAGATAGCTTTATTCGCAATGTTCTGGGACAATTATCGTCCGCCCAACAGCCCGGACATCAACCCACATCCTATGGTGGAAGTAGTGCGCATGCCATGGAAAATACAGGTACGTTTTCTTGGCAAGACCCCCAAATTTATTTGAAGTCTCTTTCAAATTCAGTTTCTAATTCTAATTACTTAGACATCACTGAATTTGCAAATATGTCGGCAAACCTCCAGACGGAAAGAATTCTTTCCAATAATGATGACGGCCAATTGATTTTTAAATCAGGTCCTTCAAAACCTAAACTTGAATCCCTGTCTATCTCACAATGGTCTGTTGCTAATCTAGCCATCTTACAAAAATTGTTGCAGGACAATTGTTTAACTCAGGGCCAAATTTTAGATTACCTTTCTTATACGACAAGAGTGTATCAGCTTTTCTCCACACACGAGGTGAAATCTGTTTACTTTTATGATAGAGAGTATAGGAAACTGCAACACCAGCACAAATTTAGATGGGGTACAGATATCCCTCATATTCAAACAGTTTTCCTCAGACCGAAAATAGCTTCTCCCCCTCAATATGCTCAACAGGCCAAACAAAACTCCAGACCTAACTTAGGGTTCCCCCATCAGCCTCGAGCCTCACATACTTCTCAGGGGGTCGAAATTTGCAGACGTTTTAATTCCAAACGAAGCTGCACAGTTAAACAGTGCAAGTATGCCCATACATGCTCTGTCCCAGGCTGTTCTGACAAGCACCCGGCTTCAGAGCATGCCTCCTCAAAAAACATGTAAAGAAACCCTCGGGCCTCATCCTCTCTGCCTGGGAGGAAGAACTATCCCAAGATCCTGATAAAAATTTTATCATTCATGGAATCAAAAACGGTTTTGATATTATTGACCCAACTTTATCCCCAACACCAGCTGAAATGGAAAACCACCCTTCTTCCCTTAATTCGGACCTTTTTGATAAAGCTACGGCCCAAATTTTAAATGAAATTGCTGAAGGAAATTACATTCTGACTCCGTCACCTCCCATAATTGTTAGCCCCTTAGGAATTATCCCAAAAAAGGATGGGGGGGTACGCATAATTCATGATTGCAGTCGACCTAAAGGTCAGGCAGTTAATGACTATGTCTCTGACTCCCATAAATTCAAATACCAGTCTTTAGATGATGCGACTCAGTTAGTCAAACATGGGTCCTTTATGGCCAAAGTTGATTTAAAGTCTGCATACCGTTCAGTACCTATAAGCCAACACAGACAGTCTGTTACTGGTTTTAAGTGGAAAGTTGGGAACAAAACTTCCTATTTTTTTGATTCTAAATTGCCCTTTGGTTCTAAAGAAGCCCCAAGCATATTTCATAGGTTATCCCAGGCAGTACGTAGGATGATGGCTCGTAGGGGTTTCATAATAGTAGCATACTTGGATGACTTCTTTATTTGCGAACCATCCAAACATAGATGCCAAATAGCTTTTCAAACCTTAATTGGCCTATTGCGGAAATTAGGGTTCTACATTAACTGGCAAAAGGTGGTCGACCCCACTACAAAGCTTACCTTCTTAGGTATTGATATAGATAGCATCGCTATGCAAATCTCCTTACCCCATGCAAAGTTATCAGAACTTAAATGCGAACTCGGTGAGTTTCTAGGGCGAAGTCGCGCTTCAAAAAAGCAACTTCAATCCCTCGCTGGGAAACTCAATTGGGCAGCTTCGGTTGTTTATGGCGGAAGAGTTTTCCTGCGCAGTATCATCAATGCTTTCTGCGCCCTTAAGCACAAATCGCATAAACTACGCATCTCCACCGATATCAAGCAAGATATCATTTGGTGGCACAGGTTCCTCGAGACCTTTAATGGCAAATCATTGCTTCTAAGCAAGAAGCCAATTACATCAGTCAGTACTGATGTATGCACTGCTGGTGCAGGGGGAGTATGGAACCGTGATTGGTTCTATTGTAATTGGGACCTTGACTTCCCGTCAGCTGCCCCACTGCACATAAACGAAAAAGAACTCTTAGCAGTCATTATCGCTGCTCACCGTTGGGCCCCTCTTTGGGCTAACCACAAGGTCATCTTTTTCTCGGACAACTCGGTAACAGTGTCGGGAATAAATAAGTGTACATCCCGGAACCCGGTCATAATGAAATGCTTACGTAGCTTATTCTGGCTTTCTGCCACTCATAACTTCCGCTTTATAGCAAGGCACATACCGGGAAAAGATAACGTCCAAGCGGACTTTATCTCAAGACTTCATGATAAACAGAAATTTGTTACTCAATTGTCCCTTATTTCCCCCTCACCCCACCACCCAGAGGGCTGGGTATCTCATATTTCTCACCGCACCTTCCATTTTCTTTCACAGGCACACCTCTAACTAGTCCAGCCTCACTAGATGCCAGAATCCATTTGTTCCGCAGTAACATTTTAGCAGCCTCCACCAAGAAAACATATCTTTCATACCTACAGGCTTACATTAAATTTTGCAATTCTTTAAACATCTGCTTAGTTCCCATTTCCCCCTTAAACCTTGCCAGATTCGTGGCGTCCCTATCATTTCGTTTGTCCTTCCAATCGATTCGAAACTACCTTTCCGTAGTACGCTTACTACACCTCGAGGCTGGATATCCTAACCCGTTAGAGTCTCATTTCCTCATAAATACCCTTAAAGGAGCGAAACGAGTCATGGGCCTTAAGACCTCCCCCAAACTCCCTATTACACCCCAAATTCTCGCACTGATTTTCCATAAATTAAATTTCCAAAAGCCCCTAGATCTCGTGTTTTGGACAGCCTGCCTTGTAGCATTCTTCTCCTTTTTTCGCAAGTCCAACCTCTTGGCCCCCTCCTGGGAAAACTTTGACCCCTCTAAACACATGGCCCGGTCTAATGTCCAATTCGACTCTAAAGGGGGCGATCATTTCTATTTCCTGGTCCAAGACTATTCAGTACACGCAAAGGACTTTACTCGTACCACTACCTCATATTCCAAATTCCCCCTTTTGCCCCTCCCGTATGTTAATGCTGGTTTTTAAACTGTTCCCTTCCCCGTTAACACACTTCCCTGCATTCGCATATAAATCAGAATCCAAATGGAACCTCCTTTCTTACAACACCTTTCTTAGAATGCTCAGGCATAATCTCTCCCTGGTAGGCATTGACCCTTCCCAATACTCCGGGCATAGCTTTAGGAGAGGGGGTGCTTCTTTCGCATTAGAATGTGGGCTCCCAGCAGACCTGATTAAATCCCAAGGGGACTGGAACTCGGATGCTTACAAAAATTACTTAGACCCTTCCCTTTCCTTCCGTCTGGAAGTTGCCAATCGTTTAGGTGCAGAATTACAACGTCTCCTCCCAATCTAAACCTTGCCAAGAAGCGTATCTGTATTAGTGTGTAAATGTGTATGTGTGTTCTCCTTGTTTTGTAACCCCAACTTACATTATATCTGATGTCTGGGCTACAAGCTACTGGGCACCAACTTGTGATATCTTATGTGATAGTGTGAATTCCTGTCCTTCGGATCAGTGCTACACCTGTAGACTATGCTCAGTCATAATTCTAACAATTCCATATTATGATTGTGTGCGTGCCAACCAGTTTCTCACAGTAGTGATCCGCGTTGTGCCCAGGACGCGTCGTCCATTCCGAGGGACTGTCCAGATCCTGAACTGTATGCACTTGGCTGTTTCTTGATCGCGCTCATAGACCCCGTATTATGTTATCTGTGTGTCAGCCAGATTCACATATCGGACATTCGTGCTGAGTGCGGGATGTGTCATCCACCCCAGGAGCTGTCAGGATCCTTGTCTGTCTGTGCTTAACTATTTCATGTGATTGTGTCATTTGCCTTTGTATATTTATATTTATTTTATGCTCCAACTCATGTTATACTTTATTATAATTGTTGTTTTTCCTCTGCATGATTAACCTACTCCCTACTCCTCCAGTTTGGGCATTGGAAATTACCCATGATTACTTGAATAATACTTTATGTTTACTTTGTAACAATGCTTAATAAATCATGGTTTTGCCCAAACTGTGTCCTTCTATATACAAGAGGAAATTAATGTGTTATTAAAGTTGTTTAATGATTATTAATTTACATTGTATTCTCCTGTATTCGCTTGCCTTTTGTTTGTTTACGTTTTACCCAAATGGAATCTCCCACTGGGAGATTCTATTTGCTAGATTAAAGATGGGTTCTGCCCGGAGGGCGATTCTATTTGATAACCAATCAGATTAAGGGGTTTTCTAATCTTGTAAAGCGACCCCTATCGGTGGCTAACTAGCGCCACCTATATACGTCACCGTTATCCAATCAGATTGCTTACTTTCTTGCTTTTAAATTCGTCCACTGTGCCATCCAATCAAATTGCTTTAATTGTCTATTTCAACCCATGTTTCGGCCAGTTTACATCACTTTCCAAGAAAATTCTCCGAGGCAGAACCCACGTCACTTTATTTCATAATTCAAAGTTATTAAAAAATTTTTTTTTTTTTTTTTTTTTTTTTTTTTTTTTTTTTTTTCTGTGTGTGTGTATGTGTCATTGTGTGTGTGTGTACGCGTATGTGTTGGTTTGTGTGCATGATGTCTTATTATAATGCCTAGTTTGTAGTATTAGTTTAGAGTCTACCATGATTTATAATTCCTCATGATGCGGGAAATTACCCATGATTACTTGAATAATACTTTATGTTTACTTTGTAACAATGCTTAATAAATCATGGTTTTGCCCAAACTGTGTCCTTCTATATACAAGAGGAAATTAATAAAAGCATACATGTTTCCTTCAACAGAGGTAAATAAAGGCACATGAGTTTCCTTCAACAGGTAGAATCATCTCTAACATTAATCTCTGTTGAGATTCTGCTGGGGTAGATTTTTGGACTGACGCCCACAGAATCTCTGGACAGCTATTCATAATTCATGTCTGGAAATTAAGTCCCAACTTCGGCCGACTATCACAAGAATTATTCACCTAGGCCACACTGCCCCTCGCTTCAGTTAAGTCATCTGGTTGTTTATTTGACTATCACTATTAATTCTACATTGCTTACAGTTTAGGCATGTAAATCCCAAGATAAAAATATTCACTGAAATCCTCGTTCGAAATATGGCTCCTGTGACGAAATTGTTTACCTCCTCGCATAAAAGAGTTCCTATAGTCTGTTTTTGCCCTATGTGATTCAGAACCAATGTCTACTGTAGTTATTGAACATCACATCTAACATTTAACGAAAGAAAGAAAAGCAGTGATGGCTATTTTGGGATAGACTTTACCGGTCCCCAGATCCGCAAGATCCTCGCGCTCATCGGACTTTGACATAACAACTACGTCACTCAACTGAAATGGGTTGAATTTCCACACTATTCGACAGATTAGGGTTAGTCTTGCACCTACCTGAGAGATAAGGGTTAGTCCTTGCACTAGTATTCGACTGATTAGGGTTAGTCTCGCATTCATCCGAGAGATTAGGGCTAGTCCTCGCACATTATTCGACTGATTAGGGTTAGTCTAGCATCTGCCAAGGAGATTTGGTCAAAACGTTCTAGTCCTTGCATACTATCTGATGTTATAGGGTCAGTGACTCGTTCTTTTAGATAAGTTAAGAAATTCAGTTGCTTCTGTAATTTTTCCAAGATCATAATTTAGCTTCAGAGGCATTTTGTTCATTTGTTTACATGGAAGAATGGCTAAGTCCGAAAGAAATGACACAAAGCATGCGCCGAACGCGCTTCGTTCAGAATTATTCTTTGTCGATTTTTCAATGAAAAAACGATATTAATTTTTTTTTTAGAGAACGAGGTTAAAAACTAGGTTTAAAAACATAGTTTTGAACTAAACTTTTAACTGTAGAATTTGATTTTGGGGTCAAAAGGCCAAAAAACCTTGTATTTAAGATTTTTTTCAATAGCTCATGCGATCTCATATTTACTGAAGTCGCCTTCGGCAACATTACATTTTAGCGCGTTTTTCTGGAGACTGGTAAAGTAAAGTACATTGTGTTCATGCAGGGACAGACAGTAAACAGTGGCCAACAGGCCGTTATTTACCGTGCCTATGCTGTGATGTGACAAATGATGTGAACTTGTAACTGTATAAGGTCATGAGGCACAATTTACATGTAGTAACTGCAGACAAATATTAAAACCTATGCCAAAATTTTTATGAAAATTTGATTCCAATAACTTAACATAAACAGTCAACCAGTCTTTACCATTTTGAATACAAAAAATGGGTGGACTTAACTGGCCAGAAAAAATGCCACAAAGAGGTAGAGCCACTTTGGGCCTTATTTGGCCCTGAGAATTTCTGAAAATTGAAAACCGCTCTGTTTAGGTTGCAAATGCAGTATTTATCACTTGGACTGTTGGTGACCATGTATCTATTAATTGTGACGTAATTTCACATCTAGTCGATGCATTATGACGTCATAAAATGCGTCATATTCCTCATATCCTGTAAATTCCTATGAAAATGACTTAAAGTTGAAGCGTTTTTTCAATATTTCATATAGAGCACAACCTCTGATCCAAAATATGCCAATACATAATGAAAGACCTATTTCTGAAGATCAAAAAACATTTTTTATTTTTTGGATCGTGGGCTGTGCTCATATTTTAATTCTTTGCTGAAGGTAGTCAAATAAGCATATTTTCTGCAAATTTCAAGAACATTGCAATTTCTCAAAGTCTGTTTTCAAATATTTGCATTCTCAAAACGAAATTTCATTATAGAACATGAAAGCACCAAGTGTCTACTTTATTTTGATATATGAAAATGGAAAGAGGGTGATACTTAATTAATTGATATAAGTACAGGGCCATTTTATGCATAAGATGGCTCTTGCTCTTTAAGTTCCATAAAATGTTAATTTTTTTCAATCATATAAACCCCGACATCTTAACTGTGTATTTATGGTATGGATGTGAATTTAAAATGCTCTTTTCGAGGTAAACTACATAAATATCGAAGGCATGGTGCCTGAAGATATGTTGAATATCAATAGATAATCAGGGTCACACATTTTTCATCGTCTGAATACATAGTCAGCGCATGTTTGTCGGCTGTTCTTACAAAAACTGTAGTTGTATATTGAACAAAATAATGTCATATTAAAAGGAGAAGAGCCGACAAACGTGCGCTCACACTTAATTTAACAAAAAACATGTTCCAAACAAACTTCTCGCTTCCATGTTAACAACTTCGATTGACCTGTTAAATATTACAATTCATCACGTGATGTCCACCTGTGAGTGTACTTGTGGAAACAGTTACATTGTATTCTTCAACCTGACCTAGATGTAAATCACTATGTTTGGTGCCGTTTTCAGAATTTAGCGCATTAAATGTTGTTTTAATTTTGCGTGTCCTCACATTTTTTAAAAAAAATCTTATTGACATCGCTGTAATTCCAAACACGTATTCGAATTTCTAGAGAGAGAGAGATAGAGAGAGAGAAATGTCAACAATGACACGGATCGATATCCCCGCCTCCTATTAATATTGATAGCGTGACCTATAAACCACTCCGGGTACATGTCAAATTCCGGAAGATGACACTAATGTATCGTTTCAATTTTGATTCATGGCAACAAGGCATTGCTTTTGAACATATGTTCTAGCTAAAATAACTATGTATACGTCGCTCTTTCTAGTGGTTGTGATATTTTTTGGATTCACTTTATTTTCAACTTGTTAGAGTAGTCTCAAAAAGATCCAAACTAGGGCGTTAAGTCCACCCATTCTTAGATGCTAAGGGAAGTAACTCTAAAATCATGTACAGCGTTGGTAGATCTAAATTTGTGTTTTCAGTCATGATATCTAGATATCATCATACATGCCAACTTTCCCGATTTAGGTGGGATTCTCCCGATTTTACGTTTTTTTTTATCCCACTTCCCCATCGGGAGAGAAAAATTGCCCAATTTCCCGATTTGACAAAAATTCAGATTTTCAGTTTCCCTACCGCCGAATTTTGTTAATTGGGATAAAAATATCAGACTTGTTTAATCACTACACACAGATAAGTCTCATTGTTTACTTAGCATGCAGAGGTGTTAATTAGCCACAGGAAATCACTTCACGCTTGAATGCACGCAGTTGTCCAGGTACAGGTAGATTATAGCCTGGAGCAGTTAGGGGATTAATCTTTTCAGTTTGAAGGGGTATGCAAAGTGAAACATATAGATTAAGGGCTTAATTATTAGTCATTTTATTAAAAACAAAAATTAAAAACAATAAAATGATAATCGAACAATAAAATTGGAATCCAGAAAGATCGTTTTTTGAAAACGAAAATAGAAAATTTCAAAGCATAGCTGCTCATTTTATCTGCTAATAATAAAAATATTGTATAGTTTTCCAATTAAAAAAAAAAAAAATATTGGAAATAATTTAGATTAAATATCGCTCTTTATCATTCATTTTATAAAGGCTAGATTTTTCACAAATAAAAGTCTCAATAAAATCTTGAATCGAGGGATCGTGTCAAAACCGGAAGTGCTATTGATAAAGCATCTACCCATGGATAAAGTGTAAGTTTATCTTGTGGGTAGTTTTATTGATCTATAGTCTCAGATGATAAAAGAATTGTGGTTAGGAGGTTGATCTTACCATCAGGCACTTAAGGCGTGGACCCCTCACCCCTCCATTTTAGTCCCCCGCTTTCGCGAAAGCGAGGGGACATTAAATCTCATTCGTCTGTCTGTCAGTCTGTCCGTCTGTCCGTCACAAAAACCTTTAATATTGCCTATAACTTTTGATGCAATGAAGCTATGATTTTTATATTTCACATGTGAATTTCTTGTGACAAGACCTTTCTTTGGGTACCACCAAATTTGACCTTCTGACCTTGACCTTGGAGCTTGACCCACTTTACACAAAAATTTCGTACTTTTACTTTGGCCATAACTTTTGAATGGTAGATACTAGGACTTTCATATTTTAACATATGTATTTTTTGTGGCAAAGCCTTTCATTGGATACCAACAACCTTGACCTATTGACCTTGACCTTGGAGATTTCTGTACTTTTAAAAACTTTAACCTTGGCCATAACTTTTGAATGGTAAGGGATAGTGCTTTTAACTTCACATATGTAATCCTTGTGAGAATACCTTTCATTGGATACAAAGAACTACGACCCTCTGACGTTGACCTTGGAGTTTAAATTACTTTTAAAAAACAAACCTTGACCATAACTTTTAAAGGGTTAGGGCTAAGGCTTTCATGTTTATAATATTTAATCCTGTGACAGGACCTTTCATCGGATATCAAGGATGACCTTGGAGTTTGACCTACTTTTAATAAAAACCAGGTCAAAATTTTTGGAACAGATTAATCTCAATGAACTTTAAGACCTATTTGAACAGAACTTGTTTGAATATTGTTTTCAGAATATATACTAACTGTTAAAAAATTATTATGTGAGATTTGCATCACTTAATCTGATAACATTCGTTGAAGTTAGCTTCGTAATCTTTGATTGCCTATGTTTTCTTTTTAAATCTGGGGTCAACACACCTTTTTCCTACTTTAGCAGTCGAATATGCACTACTTGGTATCGAAAAAGTATTTCTACAGTATATATAAGCTTTATTTTTAGCTCTACTGGTCAGAGACCAGAAGAACTTATGCGATAGTAATGTGTCTGTCTCTTTGTGTGTAAACAATTTTTCAAAAAGCTATTAATACTATACTTTTTTTGCTGGCATGAAAAAGATCCGTCCCTGCTCAATGGCCCTGAGTGCCGTGTAGGACCAAATTTTCAACTCTCCACCGGCAAGTGGTTGCATCTAGATGTGAGTGAAAATTTCTGAAGAATGACATAAAACAAAAAAAAAAAACAATCAATCAATATCCTCTCCATGCCCCAAAAGATGCATTAGACATTTTTATAGGCACTTTTGATTAGCTCACCTCCACAAAGTTGGGGGGGATTATGTGATACCCTTGGCGTTTGCATCCAAGGTTAAGGATTTTGGAGCAGTTTTCTTTTTGAGATGCTATGCCCTACATTGATCAGATATGCATGCAAGATGCATCTAATGTGTTTCATTGCACTAGTCAAGGTTTCAGTTGATGCAATTTCAAATGAAATGACCAGATTAATGTTTTTGGAGCAGGTTAAAGTTTTTGGTGCAGGACTCATTTCCAAGTAACTATAAGCCCTATGTTGACCAAGCTTGCTTGGGTGATACATCTAAAAATTCAAACTACCAGGGTTGCTTCAGATGCTGGATTCAACCTACATTTTCAGGATGAGTGAACAGGCTAAAGTTTTTGGAGCAGGTTCATTCTAAAGTAACTATAAGCCCCATGTTGAACAAACTTGCATGGATGATACATCTAGGGATGCTCACTATCAGGCTTGCAGGTAGATTTTCCAGATGAGTGATTTAAATACTAAAATGCTTTCTTTGGTTGTTAGTATGGGAATTAAGGTTGCAACTGTTGCAGAAAAAATACATAACCCACAAAAGCAGGTTATGTACTATTTTTTTTCTGCAATAGCTGCAATGTTAATTCCCTTACTAACAAACAAAGAAAGCATTTTATTGTGTATATTTACATTTGTATTAAAAATCATTCAAAGTAAAATTAAATTTGTTTAAGTATTGTATTTAAGATGTATGTGTAACTGATGGAAGAGCCATTGTTCAAGAAATCGACGCACGTGGCTTGCTTATTGTTGTTCATGCACTGATTAATGGCAATGATCTTCATGAGAAATAAAGGAAAAAATATTTAGTGGATGTTAATAGGAGGGCCGTTCAAAAATTATGCAGACTCTGTTATTATTTACTCTTACAGACGTCATATAGTTATGAAATTTCACAGAAATATGTATTTTAAAGATTTCAATAAATTTTGGGCAAAATTTCAGTATTTTAAAAAAAATTCTACTAAAATTATCAGTATTTTGATATCGCTGATTGAGAGGAACGGAGCACGACAAAATCTGAGTCAAAAGCATGCGTAATTCAAAATTTAACTCAATAATTTTCTATAATTTGCGATATTTTTTGACAATTATCTCAAATGTATCTTTAAATTGTTCTGTTATTATGTATTTAGATTTCTGACATGATATTTGAAGTACTAACAGAAATATAGTGGTTGTTCTCTGCAGGGATTACAGTGAAAACGACTGTGAAAATGACGTTTCCTGAATTGACGGCGCACCACACTTTTGTTAAATTTTGTGTTATGCTCGAGATATTGCCAACACAGATCCAAAATATACATAATAACATATAGTTAACTAGGGTATTCATGATATTCATCAACAAATAGCAAATTGAAATTTTAGACCGTTAGACCTCTGTATAAAGGCTATACGAGAGGACGGGAAGAAGATTATCGAAGAAAACTTTATCCGGACTGTAAAGAACGTGATTGAGAGTCACCAATATCACACTATATCTCATAAATACCTGCAGTTTTTGATTTTAAAACAAAAAAGAATATTCTTTTCCCGTTTAATAGATTATAAGCTTGGCAGGAAATGGTGTTTGGATGTTAGCATCGTGAATCAGATTGAGAGGCTTTCGGGTTTTTGCAAATTATCTGACATTTTCAACTATCTTGATGCCCTGGCATATCCAACAAACTTGACTGATTTCTTAAATATCTTAAAACTGGGTCAAAGCTGTTAGGAGGTTAAGGGCATATGACAGAAACACACACACTCTCACACATATGCACACTTAAAACAGATAAAAAAGCAATACTCCATAGATCCTTGATCATAGGGAAAAAATATTAAAGGCATTAATATTTTGATTTAAATTTCAGATCCTCACATAAAAATCATTGGATTGCCTGAAGATGTAAAAAAATCTAAGGAACAAATTTTATCCATACTGGATACAAAAGTAAGTATATTTTGTATTTTAATACACTCATTTCAAAATGGCTTTGGCATAAAGTGATTCCCTTTTTAGCTCACCTTGACAAAGTCAACAAAAAAGTCAACAATAAATCAAAGAAGATAAAGATAGCGCAAATTTTGCGGCCAATTACTGCTAATACCGTATTTTGTTCTTAATATCGAATATCATGAATAGCACATTGGGTGTTTTACCTTGCACTAGCTTCATATAAATATATCACGTACAGTAATTTATATCGAAAGCTGTGGCTTCAAATAGAATGAACACATTTAAAAAGTAGTTCAAGATTTATTTATGCTATTCAAAAATAGTTGAAATTTGAAAACGATATATAAATTATAAAGATACATGAGAGTATATTTATTAGAAATTTAATTTTCATTTTGTACTTAATTATTATAATTCTTATATTTCAGCTTCTGTATTTCTAATATCCTTACTTATTTTGTTAGTTGTGTGTTAACATTGAGCATTTTTAGCTTCTTCTCTGGAACCACTGAACCAATTTCAACCACATTTGGTATACAGCATCTATAGGTAAAGGGAAACAATGAATTTCATGGTCCATAAAATTAATTCTTCAACAAATCTTCTGGTGCAAGGGTGGGGCTATATAGATCATATAGTGAAAATGCATTATTTCTTTGAAAATCTTCTATGCAAACTTCTGGGTAAAATTGTGAATTTTATAGCCCAAGGGGCAGGGGTAACTTAGTATAAAAATGTTAATAATATATATATTAATAAAGTTATAATATATATATTAAGTAAGCTAATTAAGTACTTAGTTATGATAAGAAAGAGGGCCTCTACCAAAATTGTGAATTTAATGGCCCCAGGGTCAGGAGTTCTGGTGTTAGGACGGGGCTCTTTTGATTATATACCGTAAATCTGGAAATTTTTACGTCGATTTTATTTTGCGAATTAGGGTCAAAATGGTGTTGATTAATTTTTACGTTTTAAAATTTTGCGAATTACCACTGTTTTGTTTACATTTTCTTATTGGTAATTTATTTTTAAGAAAAATATTTTTGCGAATGCATTGATCTCGCAAATTTGCTAAAAATTTATCTACAGCAAAAATTTCCAGATTTACGGTAGTGAAAATGCATTAATTCTTTGAAAATCTTCTTCTCTGCTCCAGGGTATTAAATGAACTAACTAAGTACATAGTTAAGATAAACAACAGTGCCTCTACCAAAATTTTGAATTTTATTGCCCCAGAGTCAGGGGTTCTAGTGTTAGGGCGGGGCTCTATTGATTATGTAGTGAAAATGCATTAATTCTTTAAAAATCTTCTTCTCTGCTTCTGGGAAATAAAGTAGCTTACCAAGTACATGATTGTGTTGAACAAGAGTGTCTCTTCCAAAATTGTGAATTTTATGGCCCCAGGGACAGGGGTTTTGGTGCTAGGTCGGGGCTCTATTGATTATTTAGTGAAAATGCATTAATTCTTTGAAAATCTTCTTATCTGCTCCAAGGTATTAAGGTAGGCCTGTACTTTCAAAATTTTCTGTCAAACTGATCATTTTTAGCTCACCTGAGCTGAAAGCTCAAGTGAGCTTTTCTGATCACCCATTGTCCGTCGTCCGTCAGACATAGCTAGACATAGCTGTCTGTCCGTCCGTCCGTCTGTTAACTTTTCACATTTTCAACTTCTTCTCAAGAACCATTGGGCCAATTTTAACCAAACTTAGTACAAAGCATCCTTGGGTGATAATCAGGGAGATAATCAAGAAAAGACAAAAATAGGGTGGGGTCATTAAAAAATCTTCTTCTCAAGAACCACTTGGCCAGAAAACCTGAAACTTAATTGGAAGCATCCTGAGGTAGTGTAGATTCTAAATTGTAGAAATCATGACCCCCGGGAATAGGGCGGGGCAACAATAGGGAATCCAAGTTTAACATTGAAATATATAGGAAAAATCTTTAAAAATCTTCTTCTCAAGAACCAGTGGGCCAGGAAAGCTGAAACATATGTTGAAACAACCTGTGGTAGCGTAGATTCTAAATTGTAAAAATCATGACCCCCGTGGATAGGGCGGGGCCACAATAGGGAATCCAAGTTTTTACATAGAAATATATAGGAAAAATCTTTAAAAATCTTCTTCTCAAGAACCAGTGGGCCAGGAAAGCTGAAATTTACGGGGAAGCATCCTATGGTGGCATAGAATTTAAATTGTTAAAATCATGACTACCTGGGGTAGGGCGGGGCCACAATAGGGAATCCAATTTTAACATAGGAATATTTAGGAAAAATCTTTAAAAATCTTCTTCTCAGGAACCAGTGGGTTAGGAAAGATGAAACTTTTGTGGAAGCATCCTAGGGTAGTGTAGATTCTAAATTGTAAAAATCATGACCCCCGCGGGTAGGACGGGGCCACAATAGGGAATCCAAGTTTTACATAGAAATATATAGGAACAATCTTCAAAAATCTTCTCAAGAACCAGCAGACAAGGAAAGCTGAAACTTTTGTGGAAGCATCCTAGGGTAGTGTAGATTCTAAATTGTAATAATCATGAGCACCTGTGGGTAGGATGGGGCCACAATAGTTAATCCAAGTTTTCCATAGAAATATATAGGAAAAATCTTTAAAAAACTTCTTTTCAAGAACCAGTGGGCCAGGAAAGCTGAAACTTACGTGGAAGCATCCTATGGTAGCGTAGATTCTAAATTGTTAAAATAAAGATGGGGGTTGGGAGGGGGTAGGGGGCCACAGTAGATGTAAGTAGAGGGGAAATCTGGTGAAGAGCTGCATCACCAAAGCTACTCAGGTGAGCGATGTGGCTCATGGGCCTCTTGTTTAACTTGAATACCTTGAATAACTCATGAACTAACTAGAACACCCATAAAAGACATATCTTTGCAAGTTAACTTTCATACAACATGTCTCAGACTACATACCTCTAAAAATTCAACAGCCAAAATTAAACATAAGGAAGTGTAACATCATATTTTATTTAGCTATGCACCAAATCACATCAAATTTATATTAAAACTTATGGAAACAAAAAACATTCATTTGCCAGGAGAGTATTTAAAATCTTCTCTGGAAAACATTAACAAATTGATTTTGAATCTGTCCACGTCTTTAAAAATAAAATCTCAAAATATCTTTATTTTTAATAATTCTCAAAATCTAAATTGTTTACATGCCATTTTTAGCTCTACTGGTCAGAGATCAGAAGAGCTTATGCGATAGTAATGCGTCCCCGTTCGTCCGTCTGTCTGTTCATCTGTCTGTCCGTCTGTCTAGCTGTCTGTGAACAATTTTTTCAAAAGGCTAATCCTCCTACAGTTTTGGTCTGATTTCAATACAACTTGGCATACAAGTAGACTACACTAAGATACATAATTCTGTGCATCGGTTTTTGATTTCAATGAACGATGTTGCCATGGTTACTAAAAATAGAAATTTCTGTGAAATTGTTTCAAAATGCTACTCCTTCTACAGTTTTGGTCTGATTTCAATATAACTTGGCACACAAGTAGACTACACTAAGATACATAATTCTGTGCATTGGTTTTTTATTTCAACGAACGGTGTTGCTGTGGTTACGAAAAGTATAAATTTCTGTGAAATTGTTTCAAAATGCTACTCCTCCTACAGTTTTGGTCCGATTTCAGAATAACTTGGCACACAAGTAGTCTACACTAAGATACATAATTTTATGTATCGGTTTTTGATTTCGACGAATTGTGTTACCGTGGTTACTAAAAATAGAAATTTCTGTGAAATTGTTTCAAAATGCTACTCCTCCTACAGTTTTGGTCCGATTTTAGAATAACTTGGCACACAAGTAGTCTACACTAAGATACATAATTTTATATATCGGTTTTTGATTTCGACGAATGGTGTTGCCGTGGTTACTAAAAATAGAAATTTCATGAAAAGCTTTTAAAATGCTACTCCTCCTATAGTTTTGGTATGATTTCAATATAACTTGGCACACACATAGACTATACTAAGATACATAATACTGTGCATCGGTTTTTATTTTGATGAGCTGCAAGGATCATTTTTTTTAAATTTTCAAGTCCCAACTGCTACATTTCTATTCCTTTGTTTTAAGTATAAACCAGTAGAGCTACAGTCTCAACAGAGACTTCTGGTTTCTTTTAAATTAGTAAGAATTATATCTAAGGTTAACAAAACCACAAACTTTATTATGATTGACCAGAAAATTTAACAAAACAGCCCTTTGAACACTTATACCCCCATTTTTAGCTCTACTGGTCAGAGACCAGAAGAGCTTATGCGATAGTAATGCGTCCAGTGTCTGTCCGTCTGTCTGTCCGTCTGTCTGTAAACAATTTTTCAAAACGCTACTCCTCCTACAATTTTAGTCTGATTTCAGTATTACTTGGCACACAAGTAGACTACACTAAGATACATAGAATAGTGCATCAATTTTTAATTTCTATGAACGGTGTTGCCATGGTGACTAAAAGTAGAATTTTCTGTGAAATTCCTTAAAAACGCTACTCCTTCTACAGTTTTGGTCTGATTTCAATATAACATGGCACACAAGTTGACTACACTAAGATATATAGAATAGTGCATCGGTTTTTGATTTCGATGAACGGTGTTGCCATGGTTACTAAAAATAGAATTTTCTGTGAAATTCCTTTAAAACGCTACTCCTTCTACAGTTTTGGTCTGATTACAATATAACTTGGCACACATGTAGACTACACTAAGATACATAGAATAGTGCATCAGTTTTTGATATCGATGAACGGTGTTGCCATGGTTACTAAAAATAGAATTTTCTGTGAAATTCCTTTAAAACGCTACTCATTCTACAGTTTTGGTCTGATTTCAATTTAACTTGGCACACAAGTAGACTACACTAAGATACATAGAATAGTGCATCGGTTTTTGATTTCAATGAACGGTGTTACCATGGTTACTAAAAATAGAATTTTCTGTGAAATTCTTTTAAAACGCTACTCCTTCTACAGTTTTAGTTTGATTTCAAAATAAGTTGGCACACAAGTAGACTACACAAAGATACATAAAATAGTGCAATGGTTTTTGATAAGTACAAACCAGTAGAGCTACAGTCTCGACAGAGACTTCTGGTTGGAATATCAAGTATTTCAATCATTTTTTACAAAATTTAGAACGAAAGTAAAATTTAAATAGGTGATATAGGCCTAAAATCTATAAATTATAGATGTCAAGTTAGTTTGTTGAAAAAAAAAATAAGAAGGGTTTAGGTTTGTAAAGCCAATTCAGAATTTTGTGTCTGTGTATGTGCTAAAAGCATATAAATCCTACATGTATGGACAAAGTGTAAAGTGTTAATTTCCATAAATAGTATATATTAAATGTATGTATTCAAATTGACACTATAATTAATAAATATATACTTATTTAATTATTTTCAAGCAAGGTTTCACTATTAGATTTATGTTGACCGGAAGTAAGGTAATAAAATGAGTCCATGCATTGGAACCATGTGGTTGTTGTTCATTTTTCAATGAGAATTATGGCTATCCGTTGAGAGACCAACATTACAATTGGCGACAAGGATAAATTAAATTTAAAAAGAACTGTATGTAAACAATGGCGTCATTTTTGATTGACTTACCGTCAGTGAAAAGTTTCTATGTTCAAGGTGATTCTACAACTATAAGCACACGCTGGCAAAAGTGACTTCGTTCATTTGAAATTTATTGCACCGGTAAAGGGGTAACAGATACTGAACAGACTGTGTATTCAGTTATTAAGAAACAGTTCAATGATTATTTCGTTCCTCAAGAAAACGTACCTTATGAGAGACATTTATTTAGAAATATGGTACAGAAGTTGGACGTTTCGTCCAATTTATTACACATCTATGGCAACGAGTAGAATTCTGTAAATTTGGACAACAAGGGGAAGAACAAATCAGGGACCAAGTAATAGAGAAATGTACTTCTCATCACCTCAGAAGGAAGCTTCTTGAAAAGAGTAGGATTTGACATTAGAACAATTAAGGACAATTTCAAGAGCCTTTGAATCGAGTGAGAAGCAGGCAAAGTTTATCGAGTTGGGGAGTAGTGACAAAGTAGACTCAAATGTGAATTATGTAGTTAAATCTAGAAATGCAAAACAGTGAAAGTAGTAACTAAATACATAGTTATGATGAGCAAGAATGCTTCTACAAAATTTGATAAGTTCATGGCCCCAGGGTCAGGGGTTCTTATGTTGGGGGGGGGGAGGGGGCTCTATTGATTATATAGTGAAAATACATTAAATCTATGAAAATCTTTTTCATCGCTCCTGGGTAATAAGCAGATGAACTACCTATTTAGTTTTTTTTTTTTTTTTTTTTTTTTTTTTTTTTGAAACTTTCACACATATCACAAGCATTACTGTCTGAATATATGTACAATCAAAATCAAACAAGACTAATTATATTTGAAACATACAAAATTAGTGTAAAAGTTTATTAAGAGAGAGAGAGAGAAAGAGAGGGGGTAGGGGAGAGGGAGGTAAGCTCTATCTTTACATATTGTGCCCTAAAACAAATTCAGTTTTCTTTAAGCTTACCATATGAAAAAGAAAAAAAACAGAAAGGGGGAGCTAAGGAAAGACTAGTGCAGTGCAGTTTTGAGGGATTTACTAATAACATATTAAAGAAATTGAAAAAATAAACTGATGATAATAATTACAAAGAAGGTAAATTAATTAAAGTATAACATTCCATTTCTGCCAGAAAGTATTAAAATCTGTCAGTTTTTTATCATCTTTTAAAGTGTGTTTTAAAACTTTAAAATATGAATTAAATAAATTTAAAAGACCTTGGATAGATGGACAGGTATTCTGACAACGAACTTTATAAATATAATTCTTCATTAATATCAACATAGTGTTCAAGTATTCTGAATTTTCATTTTCGTCTTTTTCACCAAAAATAAATAATTTTGCATTGAAATTCAATTCAATGTCTTTGGTTTGACATAAACGTATGAATTTTTTTAAAAATTGCTGAACAACATTACATTCCCAGATTAAATGATAAATTGTTTCCTCTTCATCTTCACAAAAAGTGCAATACTTTGTGTCGGATTTACCTATTTATACATGAGACTATTTGTAGTTAGAATATAATGATTAACTCTGTATTGAAACCATTGTAATTTACAATCCCGTGTCACAAGGAATGGAAGACTATAAATTGTTTTCCACTGTATATCGGTTATTTCAAAATATCAAGCCCACTTATTTTTACCAGAAGGTTTGATAACTGGTTTATTTAGAATATCATACATAGGTTTTGATCCTTTCCTATTTAGTTATGATGTGCAAGGGATCTTTCAGTATTGTGAATTTCAAGGGGGGGGGGAGGGGGAGGGGGGTACCATAGAGGGGGAGGGGCTCTACTTATACACTGAAAATGAATTGTTTGAAATCTGCTCCTTGGTATTAATCAAACATTTTTGATAATCAAGTGAGCTTTTTCAAAAATTGTGGAACGTATAGACCTATGGTCAGGGATTCATGTGTGGTAGGGGCACTTATCATTGCTGAATATTACTGATTAGTTGAAATGCATTTTTTGTACCCCTACTCTGCCTGTGGGTATTAAGTAAAAAAACTAAGCAATTGCTAAGTGTATAGTTATGATTAGTAATGGTGCCTCTTTCAAAATTGTGAATGCCATATCATCTAGCTTAAAACATGAACCAAGTTCAATCATTTGAAAGTTGTTGCATGATGCTTAGGTGACCTAAAAGGCCCATGGGCCTCTTGTTCAATTTTGAGATGAAAATTTCATTATCACTCCCTTTTTTAGGTCACCTGAGTTAACTCAGGTGACCTATTGCTATCCGTTTTCACCCGTCATGTTCGCCATGCGTCGTTGACGTCTTGCGTTAACATTGGAACATATTCAGCTTCTCCTCTGAAACTACTGAACCAATTTCAACCAATTTTGGCATATAGCATCTATGGGTGAATGGGAACAAAATCTATGAATTTCATGGTCTCTGTCCCCCTGGGGACTGGGGGTGGGGCAAAAACCACTAAGATTAGTGCAATCTTTAAAAATCTTCTTCTTTACTCCTGGACATCAAGCAGTCAAACTGTTGGTACGATTGTAATGAGCATTGAATCCTCCACCAAAATTGTGAAATTCATGGCACCAGGGTCAGGGGTTCTAGTGCTAGGGTGGGGCTAAATAGGTTATATAGTGAAAGTGCATTATTTCTTTGAAATTCTACTTTTCTGCTCCTGGGCATTAAATAAACGAACCAAGTGCATAGTTGAGTTGAAAATGACTGCCTCTTCCAAAATTGTGAATTTCATGGCCCCAGGTTCAGTGGTTCTACTGCTAGGGCAGGGCTATATAGATTATAAAGTGAAAATGCATAAATTCTTTGAAATTCTTCTTCTCTGTTTGTTGGAATTATGTAAACTAATCAAGTGCTTAGTTATGTTGAATCAGGCTGCCTCTTCAAAAATTGTTAATCTAATGGCCCCAGGGTTAGGGTTTCTAGTGGCAGGGCAGGGCTATATAGAATATATAGTGAAAATGCATAAATTTGAAAATCTTTCTCTGATCCCGGCATTAAATAAAGTACCAAGTACATAGTTATGCTGAATAAGGCTGCCTCTTCCAAAATTGTGAATTTCATGGCCCCAGGGTCAGGGCTTCTAGTGCTAGGGTGGGCTCTATTGATTATATGGTAAAAATGAATTATTTCTTTGAAAATCTTCTTCTCTGCTCCTGGGCATTAAATAAACTAACCAAGTGCCTAGTTATGTTGAGTAAGGCTGCCTCTTCCAAAATTGTGAATTTCATGGCCCCTGGGTTGGGGGTTTATGTGTTAGAGTGGGGCTCTATTGATTATATAGTGAAAATGCATAAATTCTTTAAAAATCTTTTTTTCTGCACTTGGGTATTAAACCAATGAACTATGTACATAGTTATGAGGAGGAAGGATGCCTCTTTGAGCTTTGTGATTTTCAGGGCCCCTGAGTCAGGGCTTCTTGTGTTAGGATGGGGCTCTAATGTTTATAAAGTGAAAATGCATGAATTTTTTGAAAATCTTTTCCTTTGCTCCTGAGTATTATGCCAATGATCTTATTATATATTTATGAAGAAGAAAGCTGCTTCTTCCAAAATTGTTAATTTTCTGGTCCCTGGGAGGTACTTGGGGTGGGGGGATACATAGTCTGAAAATAATTTAATGCTTTGAAATCTGCACTTTGGTATTAATCAACAAGATGATGAAATAAAAATAAAAAAAATTCCAAAATTTTGAAAGATGTGGCCCTGGAGTCAGTGGTTCCTGTGGGATGGGGTGCACAACTGATAAAGTGGAAGTGCATTTTCTCTTTGTTACTCTGATCTACCTGTGGATGTTAAGTAACCAAAGTAAGCATGCTAAGTGTATAGTAACAGTCTGTTATGATAAGCAGTTTTGCCTCTTTGAAAATTGTAAATTTCATGGCCTCTGGATTAAAACATGAATCAAATTCAATTGTAAGTTGGAAAGTTGTTACATGATACTCAGGTGACCAATAAGGTCCATGGGCCTCTTGTTTGGCATTTATTAAATATCCGAATGATTTTCATTATTTGATCGTTGGTCCATTCGACTGAAATGTTGACTATTCGTTTACATCCTTAATTTTTATTGTGTTACATTATACAGAGGTGACTATTTAGGCCCGTTGACCTTTTGTATTATATTATTACAGCTTTTTTAGACGATTCAAGATAGATAATTCCATATATTTTCCTAATTTCAGATCAATAGAGTAACATTGAAAATGGATGTGTCATTCACAGACCATTCACATGTCATTGGAAAAGGAGGCAATAATATAAAGAAGGTCATGCAGCAAACTGGATGCCACATTCACTTTCCAGACTCTAATCGTGGAAACAGCATTCAAGAAAAAAGCAATCAGGTATAAGGATAGAGGTTTTGAGATCAAGATATTTTATAGAGAAACATTTGATTTTAACAGAGAAATACCAACCAGAAATTAACCCATTAGCAAGTTGCTTTTTTGTGTCACCTGCAGAGCAGAGCAGCACTAAAGAATCACTTAACCTGGTGTCTTTCTGTCACATCTTGTATCTCATGAACTGTAAGAGATATGGACTTAATATTTTACACGTTTATTGCTTGGCACTATGGCATTTGCAAATTGCCATGGTTACCGACCTTCTGACTCCTGTCTTTGTATTTTGACGTACTTTACTAAAAAGATAAAGGTGCCAATATACAAGGGGTGATCAAAAAGTTCGTGAACTAATTCTATATTTACAAAACCACAGTTTAGATCAGAATGAAATTTAACACACATAGAGTCACATGATCTATGAATAGCATATGTAATGGAACGTTTTAACGCGTGTTTGTGACGTCACAATGTGAAAATGATGTCGTAAGGTATATCACTTTTGATTGGTTGACTCAGTCATATTCAAGAAATGAATGGCTGTAAAGTTAAATGTATATCTTGGAAATTCATTTGCAGAAGTTTATTATAATCTGTACACGGTTTATGAATACAACATACTCGCCAGAAGTTTTGTCATTAATTGGATTGATTGGTTTTAGTGAAGGAAGGGAGATGTTTAAAAATGTTTTTTCTGTTGCCCAGTGAAAGCAAACTTGAAAAGAGATGTGTCCTTTGTTAAGCAATTTGATATGCAAGATCGCCAACTTCCAGGTAGAAAAATAGATGAATATCTTTACAGTAAAACTCGGTTACAGCGAAGTCCTTGGGACCTTTGAATTTAATTCGTTATATCCGTAATTCGTATACGAATTCGTATAACCATTATAGCGAATTCGCAATATGCATGTTTTCTTTCAAGTGTTACTACCAACTATGTTAGTGAAGCAAATATAACAAAACATATCTTCGATAACTAAGCTTTTCTTATGAATTGAGTTTTATATACAAATGCTAAAAGAAAATAAAGTAAGTTCAATTTATCATTTTTTTAATAATCTTTGAAAGTTTGTTATAAAAGATATAAATTTCATTATATTTAACCTCAGCAGGACTCAAAATCAGTTCGCTATATCCGTAAATTCGTTATATCAGAGTTCGTTAAAACAGTAAAATTGTACAAAGATTTGTTAAGAATTTTGCCGGGGACTCAGAAAAACTTCGCTATATCCGTGTTTGTACTAAACAAGTTTTACTGTACAATGTTAAATTTTTATAAAACTATTAGACAAGGAATCAGTTTCAAAATTTAAATTTGGCTTTTGGGAACTACTCAGCATGATACATCATGCCATTGACCCTCTTATAAGTCGGTACAATTTTTTGCCAAAATCTGGTGACAATTTGAAGTAAATCCATTGAAGTTTTAACCTGATTTCAATTAATTTTTTTTTTTTTTCGAAATGACACTGATATTTAATCCTAAATTAAATTTTAAAAAAGGCAATGCTCACTTAAAATACAAATAAAATTTTTAAAATATGTAAATACTTGTACTTTATATAAATAATCTAAGAATACATAATTTATCTTATATATCCAGACATTTTCTTTAATAATCGTCGGAAATTCAAATAAGATAATACCTTTTAGCCTCCAGAAAAATACCAATCTCTTTATGACTCGCCTGTAAGTCAGACATAGTTTTAGACCAATATTTAACTCCCAAAATACCGACTTATAGGCGAGTATGTACGGTAGATTCTAAATTGTCCAATTATGACCCCTGGGGTAGGGCGTGGTTACAATTGGTTTTACAAAGGGGGAAATCTGTTAAAGAACAGCATGGCCAAAGTTTCTCGAGTGAGGGATGTGGCCCATGGGCCTCTTGTTTTGTATCCAATAAGCAGTATCCAAGAGGACTTGGACTTGATGTACCCAATATATAACCAAATGTGTGTCAGTCCGTCTGTAAACTTTTCACATTTTTGACTTTTTCTCAAGAACCACTGGACCAATTTCAACCAAACTTGCCACAAAGTATCCTTGGGTGAAGGGCATTCAAGTTTGCTCAAATGGAGGGCCACGCCCCATTCCAAGGGGAGATAATTGATAATTACTGAAAAATTAATGGCAATCAAAAATCTTCTTCTCAAGAACCAGTTGGCCAGGAAATATGAATCTTATGTGGAAACATCCTCAGATAGAGTAGGTTTAAGTTTGTTCAAATCATGACCCCCGGGGGGTAGGGTGAGGCCACAATGGATGATCAAAGTTTTACATAGGAATATGTAGGAAAAAATCTTTAAAATCTTCTTGAGAACAGCAAAGTCATGATTGGTCATATTTATGTGGAAGCATCTTCAGGTAGTGTAGATTCAAGTTCAAATCATGACCCCTGGGGGTAGGGTGGGGCCACAATGGTCGATCAAAGTTTTACATACCATATTTGGCCGAGTATAATATGCATTGATGTAAAATACACACCCCCTTTTGAGTCTGAAAGAGGGGAAAAGAGGCAGTTCGGATGTATTATACGCAACAAAAAAATTTACCAAGGGGATGTTCTGAACTTTGAAAATTGCGGTAATTTGTTATGAAAATAGGCGCGAAGATTAAGTGTCAAAAATTTACAGGACAAACTTTTTTTTTCAAATACATTTATAATTTCTCTTAATCCTGAATTTCCATATCGAGGCAATCTGGAGAAAATTATTTTATTTACTCATTTATTTCAACAAAGCACAAGATAATGTTGTGTAAAGGTATTGACAGAGTTTATTTATTTATTTTTTTTGTAAGCATACGGTGATTTTGAAATAATACATCGCCAATTTCTTTGGTGAAATAGTTTTATCTCAACAGAGCATGAGATATTGTTAATTTTTAACAGTTGTCATATTTAATTTTGGTTCTAGGTAATCATGCTGAAAATTATGTTACAATACTGTAACAGGACACGAAATTGAAACATCAAAATATTTAGAAGACTACAGCTTTCCTCTTCTGAATCGTTGCGGATATCTTATTTTCTACAGAGCACGAATAAATAATAACACTTAAGTTTTAGCATACTTCATATTTCATTTGTCAACTCTCAATCATTTAAACAAGAGGCCGATAAGAATAAGATCAGGTAAAATACATTTAATGTGTTTAATTGTTTAATGTGTCTTAATCAACACACGCTCACACATGCGAAAGGCCATAAACCGACCCCCGATTTTTAACAAAGAAAATAATCAAAGCAATTAAAAAGACAGTAAATAATCAGTGCTCTAACTGTAAAAACATTGCTTTGGAGTTGGTAGACAAATAATTGCCTTGAGGGGTGTTGAGAGGTAATGATCAAGTGACCATCACACGTGTTCACAACATTGGATTGCATCCTAGTGGAGAGAATCCTAGGGGACAGACCATACACTCTTCTGAACAATGTCAACAGTCCAGTGTTTTCCAGCAAATCCACAAAAGAAATCATCAATGAGTACTTTCTCCTTTCACTGAGACGTATAGAGGGATGTTTATGTTGCAGTGAATTTTCACTAAGTTATTTAAAACTTAAAATAATTTTTTATTATATTGTATATATATTTCATTAAAAAAAATGCATATTACTTTGTCTGGCAGGTAAGGTACATATGCACTATGATTACAGAAGCACGTGGCAATGGAATGTGTGAACATCTAAAAATAACATCGGTAAGGGCGGCTTACACGGAAACAATAAACATACAGCTCAAATTAATTTTAACTTGCTTTTTCATGTCATTATAGTATCAAAAGACTATGAAAGTGACACTTTTAATAAGTGTATTTTCCAACCATAACTTTCTGAAGTTTAAAATATGGCGATAAACAAAAGAAATTGCATATGTCTCTAGGTAATGCTATGGTATGTTCGTATGGCAGCCATGTTTCACCTGAAAGAAAAACTTATCAAAATCCCATTGTGATGTAAAATACCCACTCCTTTCTCACAGAAATTTATTTTAGGAAAAAAGTGTGTATTATATTCTGCCAAATACTGTAGGAATATATAGGAAAAAATCTTTAAAAATCTTCTACTTGAGCACAGCAAAGCCATAATTGGTTATATTTATATGGAATTATCCTCAGGTTGTGTACCGTATATACTCGCCTATAAGTCGGTATTTTGGGAGTCAAATATTGGTCTAAAACTCTATGTCTGACTTATAGGCAAGTCATAAGGAGATTGGTATTTTTCTGGAGGCTGAAAGGTATTATCTTATTTGAATTTTCGATAATATATATAAGATAATTTATGTATTCTTAGATTTTATATATAAAGTACAAATATTTACATATTTTAAAAATTTTATTTGTATTTTAAATGAGAATCCCCCTTTTTATGGCGTCGGGCTTGCCCGATCATCATCTAGCGATTAGTCAGGTTTACGCGACCGCACGTGTCAGTGGATGCATCCGCAATAGAAAATAGCAACAGCTGTAAACCAATTTCTTTTAAAATGTTCACAATGAATAATAGCTTGAATATAAAATTAAATCAATTGTATCGTCAATTAATTCTACTACAAAACAACGATATTATGTATAATTTTTACGCAAGAAAAATGTTATGGTTGTTGCGGATGAATTTCTACTGAGAGGGTGCGTCGAATGACATGAATCACATTTTGAAGATTGTCGACCAAAAAATAGGTCACAGTAACCTATTTTTAGCTCTACTGGTCAGAGACCAGAAGAGCTTATGCGATAGTAATGCGTCCGGCGTCCGTCCGTCTGTCTGTCTGTCTGTCTGTCTGTCCGTCTGTCTGTCCGTCTGTCTGTAAACAATTTTTCAAAACGCTACTCCTCCTACAATTTTAGTTTGATTTCAGTATTACTTGGCACACAAGTAGACTACACTAAGATACATAGAATAGTGCATCGATTTTTGATTTCGATGAACGGTGTTGCCATGGTTACTAAAAATAGAATTTTCTGTGAAATTCCTTAAAAACGCTACTCCTTCTACAGTT